ATGTTGTTCCTATTTTTCATATTATTTCTGTGTTGTTACTGATATTGTCCCCTTTTTGTCTTTTTGTTTTCTTGAGCCGAGGGTCTTTCAGAAACAGTCTCTCTACTCCTTCGGGGTAGGGGTAAGGTCTGCGTACACACTACCTTCCCCAGACCTCACTAGTGGGATTTCACCGGGTCGTTGTTGTTGTTGTTGTTGTTGTAGTTGTTAGCATACAAGATAACTTTTCATGTTATATGCTATTTGCAAATGGCATTGTATTAATCAACGAAATAACAAAGGAGTCGACCAAAACGTTGAACTATGAAGTAATATAGAGAAGGGTTTTAAGATAAGTAGAAGTAAGACAGAATATGTGCACTTCAACTTTGGTCGTCATAGAAGAATGAAGTTGAAGTGAGATTAGAGGATTCTTGTGGGAGGTTATAGGCAGTTAAGATATCTAGGCTCTGTGATTCAAGGGAATAGAATAATAAATGAATATGTAACACATAGAACTTTAATAGGATGACTGAAGTGGAGGATTGCTACGAGAGTGCTATGCAATAAAGATATCTATGAGAGTGAAAGGCAAGTTTTATAAAACGATGCTGACACCGATAATGTCATGTCAGAGAATATGGGACTCAAAAACCCAATATATCCACGAAATGAATGTTGTAGAGATGTGAATGTGAATTTGGATGCGTGATCATATAAGATTACACAGAAGAAAATAGAAGATAAAACAAGAGAAGGTAACATGAGATGGTTCAACCGTCCTCTGCATAAACCTTTGAATACAGGTAACTAAAGGAGACAAGTTATATATGAAATCACATGGAAGGAAGTAGACACCTACACTCCCCCAGAATATATGGAATTTAGTGAATAACAGAACACAATGGAAGCAAAAGATCCATATAGGCAATGCCGGCTTGTTAGGATTAAGGTTCAGTCGTATTGGTACACTTGAATTAGGTCTGGTGCTAGCTAGGGGCCTGTTTAATTTGTTTAGAGATCTTTATGTTGGTATAAAATGTAGATAACTCTAGTATCTGAGAACCCTAATCTCTTTTAGAGGATAGATTATGAAGTATTGGCATGTAACATGTTTAACTGCAATAAATGGGTATTGAGAATTTATATAGCTAAGCCGAACTATTTTGGGCTGAGGTATAGTAGTTGTTCGTCATTTGTAATATTTGTTTGTTCAGACCTAATTCTAACAATCATATCAAAGAAGGGTTTAGATTAGAAGTTTTCTTTCCATTTTCTTAGTGGAATTGGACCATGATCCTCCACTCTGCATAAGATACACATTGCCTGGTTCTGGAAAAATCTCTGGTAGGGGACGTGGTCAATTTTTCTTTTTATCGTCGTGTTTGTGGATTTTCTTTTTGGTGGCAAGTCATGTACATTGTGCTGAGACTCTACATAAAGATGACCCTTGTTTATGGTTTCTGCTGGTGAATAGCTGACCGTATGATCTTTCGCACATGCTAATAAGATATTTTATTTGCACAAATGAAAATTCAAAAAGAAGAATGTTTGAGTAAACCATTATTGGCAAATAGGCTTAAATATGTATGATGGTCATCGTCAATGTGTTGATGGGAACTTTAACATCCTCCTCCTCTTTGTACCTTGTCCCTGGATTAAAAATAGGTAAATATATGTTTTTAGGTTTACTTTTTTAACATCCTCATCCTCTTCATACTTTGTCAGACTTGCAATTACCATTTTCAGTGTACATGATCAGCTAGGTAAATAGAAATCCAAGACATGATATCATTATTGAATCCCTAACTGACATAGGAATAGTAATCATATCACTAATATACCATAAATGACTAGCTTGAGTTTTGATTAATTAACTTACAAGAAAGCTTTACTTGCAGGGGAGCAGCTGGGCAGCCAAGGCTATTGGTTCCTGTTGTTTTAGTCATGATTTATAACCGGTGGAATGGGTAAGGATCTTCCACTATCATCATAATGCGTCAAAACACGTGTGGATAGAGTAGTAATTGTTTCAAAGAAACTTCTCTTATAATTTTTCTTGATGGGTAAAGAAATTGGAGGTAGCTTCAGTTTCTTCTATTCACATTTTACTTTCAAGATTTAGTAGAGACCTTTTCTTATATAAAAAGAAGATTTGGATCAGATCTTTGGTTTACTAAATACAGAAGTTAACCACTTATCTGCCAAAGACCAAAAAAGGAACTTAGTAAGCTGCAGAAAGTTATTTACACTTGAGTTTAAATTTAATGTAATGGCATTAAAATCATTACTGTGTTGTGTTTCTTGTCTAAGATGTCCCAAGAATTTAGTCCATGACCAAAAGTCGAAGTGCAATTTTCACTCAGTTCCATATGAGCACCTTGAGACTTGTCCAGTAATAGCTGTAACACCACTAAAAAGGACATTACCAACAATTCTGAAATAGCTTGAACCTGTTACTGATTATGTGGAACTAATCATTTTAGACTTTATTCTATCCTATGACCGTTTGGAGCAAGCTTTGTCGCTTTATATTGCATAAAAGTGGCTTAAGTTTGTGTCATTTGCTTGCTTAATTTGGTTTCTTTTCAGGATCCTTGAGCCGGAGTATGGATTCATGCACCTTGACTTGATACCCATGTTAGTTGGATTCTTCACTTACAAGACTGCAACTTTTGCCCAAGCTATCGAAGATGCATTGACGACAGTTGTAGAAAAGAAGACAGAAACATAATTTTAATAGGTATGGCTCCAAACTCCCGCTTAGCAATGATAATTTCTACCTCAATGTTAACTTACTAAGGTGTATATGCTCACAACAATCTCCTCGTTTTAACCTTAGGTATGTAGTTCAAGCAATGATAAATTTTCGTGTAGTAAAGTTGAGCCTTGGCGTAAATGTGACCAGGAGGTCACGGATTCAAGCCGTGGAAACAGCCTCTTGCAGAAATGCAGAAATGCAGGGTAAAGCGGCGTACAATAGACCCTTGTGGTCTGACCCTTCCCCGGACCCTGCACATAGCGGGAGCTTAGTGCACCGGGCTACCCTTTTTATCCAGTTTTAACTAGGAGCAAGAAATACTGTTTTGTCCCTCTATTTTGAGTTTGCTTTCGTTTTCTTACCTTTTGCCTCCAATAATTGCAGAGACGAATTTCAGGAACTGCAAAAAGGGATTCAAAACATGGTTGACTAGTAGAATTCAAGAACATATTTCTGCTCTCACGTCTGTACTGTCGTGGGAAATAACAAAGAATTCAAGTGGAAGAGTGTTGGGAATTTAAGGTTCTGAATTCTTGGAATGGATAAGGTTAGGGGAAATGTATCTATTGTTATGTAGCTGGTCCAGACACCATTGTCATAATAAATTTATTAATTTATGAATGCAGTCATGCAATAAATCATATTAATTTACAGTAAGACTATAAATGGCCATGGACAAACAAAAAATGCTTCCAAATTATTGCAAAAGAAAACAAATTGGAAGGGGTAACATCAATAATAATTGGGCAAAATATAAAATTGGCCGGTCAATTGAATCAAATGGATGATTTCATCTTCCTAGAAGTCGGAGCTTGTGCTCAGACTATCACTATATAATTGGGTAAAATATAAAGGTCAACCGAAACTAGTTCGCATTATGTGGTCAAAAGTGTGTATATAATACACACAAAACAATAACAACAAACCTAGCGTAATCCGACAATACAATATTAGTTGACCAAAATAACCTTAATTACATCAAACATATATATATATATATATATATATTTGGGAGTGACTAAAAATATACATTTATCCATACGATTTGCATAATGTTTTTACGTTCCTCATCTCTTCTTTGTTGGGAACAGCTATGAGAAGCCGAAAAGGGGCAATTCTAGAGGCCTTTGATAGTTGGAAAGTGCAAAAAAGGTGAGAGGAAATGATGTTCGTAATTTTTCTCTGGTAAAGAATAGTTGATTTTACACTCTAATTATTCATTCAATTTGATCTAAGTTGAATAAGAGGTCAATAGGCAAATGTTTGTACAAGAAATTAAGTGATATCATTGCTACATGAATGAGTTTACAAAATCGTATACAAAAATTACTCTTTTTTTTTTTTTTTAGGTTAATAAATCTTGTGCTCTAGGTTATGAATTTATAGTTTGATGTAGAAGTACTTTATGCTATCAAAATTCCAGAAGTGATATGTCCTTTTATGAAAAGCAATACTGCTTACTGAGAAAATAAATCAAAATATTTCTGATGCTCGTTACCACCAACAGCTCTCGTAGCTCAGTTGGTTAGAGCACCCGTTTAGTAAGCGGGAGGTCTTGAGTTCGACTCTCAACGAGAGCAGAAGTGCGAATTACGACGTTTGTTTTTTTAAAAAAAAAATAAAAATCTTTGCTTCACATCCCCAATGAGATCGCCAGGACATTGAAAACTACAAGAATTTTTTATTTGCATGGGTAGTATTCGTTTCACAAGTTTCAGAAGGATGCTAAGGGTTTTGGCTTTCATCAGTAGATATCTTCCTATTTCCATCACATATGCATTTATTTTATCATTTTCTGCAACCCTAAAAAGACCAAGTTCAAACACTGCTTGAAAGCCTGATTAACTGCCAACAGGAGGGTACTGACAAGCCCGAAAATACAAAAATAGCTGGTCAAGCAGACACCAAGAGCCAGCAAGTTTTTTGTCATCTTTTCCCTCCCCAAACCCTACTTGTAACTTGTAAGATTCCACTGAATTTGTTGTGGTTGAAATCCCTCCCCAAACCCTACTTGTAACTTGTAAGATTCCACTAAATTTGTTGTTGTTTCACTAAATTTCAACCGGGGTTGCTTTCAGGTGTCAAGGACCATAAACTATTACAAGGAACGAGATCGCGTAATAGTGAAACGGAATTTCATTTCAATCCTCAATCACAGCCATCCTTCAATTTAGAAAAAGCTAGAAACACAAAATTAAGAATCGAATGTTGAGCTCTAAATGAGAATCCATTTGGTTGAAATACATGACCAAGTGAGTCAAAACAAGGAACCTCATTATTCCATTCACATTTGCATAGACAGTCACCACCATATGCCTAAAGCTCAAAAGATACTTTTCTTTACTCCATCGGAAGAAATAAAAAAGAACACCTATAAATTCAAAAAATATAATCAGGACGACAACGAGGGTCTGGTTCCGGCCAATACTTTCACCAAGCAAAAGAATAAAATGGTTAATTTACAGAGAAATAAGTTTAAGTTACAAGCTCTTATCAAGATTCTGAAAAAGTCTAAGCAAAAGTAGACCAAATCGAAGCCTGAAGTACATCTATCGCTCGTCTTCATGATAGCAAACTTGTATACTCTTGGCGAGGTTAACCAAAATATATGTATCACCTCCAAAAGATTTGTTGAAAAATGCACTGTTCTAGTCAACATTCCTTCTACAAGTAACCATCTGCTCATAAAAATAGAAATTTGTAAACTTTTCATTTGTTTCAAAGCAATTTCAAGCTAATCTCCCAAGAATAGCAACAAAATATTGTAAGAGAGGGAGGGGAGGCAACAAAAAGGAAACGATTCTCTTCTTTTCTTAAACTTCTATTTAGGAGCCGGAGTGCACCAACAAAACTTCTGACCCTATCAATTGCTAATTTCATAAATAAAGCTCAACAATTGTAAACTATTCCTTCAAAACATTGCCACCCAACCCCAAGGAGAAACAAGATCTGGATATAGCGGGACAAGTTAGCTAAACAGAATAGGTTATCAAAAAAGAAAAAAAAAGTTAGCTAAACAGAGTAGTATTTGTTGTAAATTTACAACATAGAATAAGGAGAAAATCAACTATAAATTGAAGCTATTTATTACAGTGCCAGACCAGTCATGGTGGGGGGAAAGAATTAAAGAATGACGACTTGAACACAGTACAAGAATATTCAGTGGACATTCTAAGATTATTATGGGACGAAATAGCAAATTAATTTGTTAAAATAAGATGCTTTATCCTTACAACTACCAACCTATGCTGACATAGTGATAAAGGAGAGAAATGGATTAAATGCAGTTACAAAAGCAATAAACATATAAGACTCATCTTGTCAAAAGAACAGATATAATGCAAACAATAGGCATACATATGCAAGCAGATGCACATTTATAACTCTGAGTAAATATATTTTCTTAATAAATAAAAATTTTCGCACAAATCCACGTGCATTGGATCTTCACTGCTCTTATTAGCCGTCTTTGTGAAGCTTAAACTGAATGTTATCTCAGCTCCCTAGTGGCATCATGTAAACAATTTTTGCAGCCATTACATCAACCATTCCCCAGGTAGAAGTACATAGTCTCAAGACCATAACTATTACTGTGTTTTGAAACTACTGAAATTTAATGCTAATAACAAACTTTATCAATGTGTTTCAGAACACAGGGAAAAGTACGTATCTGCTTCTTTTTAATCACAGTCTGTTTAACAAACATGATTAGAAAATGCCTCCATAATAATGTGCCGTATATATTTGCGTGTGGCAGTTATAAGAGAAAGTGTAAGTAAAAATGCATTCTTGAAAATGAAATTGAATCGAACAAATCGAAATTACTCTAAAGGGAAAATGAAGTACTTGACGGAAAAGTACAGTTTTGATCATTATTAACCATTTAGTTCAACACCAGATTGCTTGAGGGATGAATAGTGTGGGGCTAGTGAGGGTAATGGGAAAGAAAAAGCTTAACAAAAAAGCATAACGCTATGCCAAATTAGCCCGAAACTCCCCATAGCCCCTCTTGCGGGAACATCTTTGCCACCAATATCCAAGAAAAGAAAGAAAAAGTTAAGAGCCAAAACCAACAGTTGGTCAAAGCGTCATGAAACCTCAAGAAACATCCACAGATCCAATCATCCAAGCCTTAAAAAAAAAAAGAATAAACGGTTGGTTCAAAGATCATTTTATTTCTTTAATGACCAATAAGATTTCAAAAGAATTTATCTAGTAAGATACATAAGCTAATTAATTTTGGTAAAACAAGAGACGCATACATAAATGAAGAGGTCGTTATCTAAACAGTTTACTTACAAGGCTAACGAATGTAGAATAGGGCCTGTTGTGCAAACTTATATAAGCCCTCAAAAGCAGATTCCTGACACATAAAAGACCCCACTTCCCAAGAAAGTTTTTTCCACTAGTTTTTGAGACTGGAAAGTTGAAGTCAAACAATAAAGGAGGCACTGCACAGCTAGGCCTAAGGAAGAAGGAAACGAAGTCGTAGAGCATGGGATGTCGCTCCACCAGCACTTATATGGGTTCTAAGGAAGGGGAGGAGAAAAGGAGAGTTTTTGCTGGTGTAGGTCTGACTTTGTGCATTTGAGAAATAGCCTCTTTTTGGTTCACCCATGAGGTTCCAGTCTGGCAGTCTAAAAACATTGGGTGTACTTTGTAATGAACCATATTCTTGCAAGGCTATCCAACTTTCCATTCATTAATAAAATTATTTCATGTTATCAAAAAAGAAAAAGTTACTAACAATCAAGAGGTTAACTGGTTTAGAGATACAATGGGCGCTCTTGAACCTGCATCTACTATATGGACTTTGCTCTAAATAGAACATCATTTACTAATTTTCATGTCAAATAAAATACTGTTTTTTCCCAAAACCTATGGAATAGTCAAGACATGTGAGATCAATGACAAATGTTCTTGACAACTAACCCATTTAAGATGTGTTCTACATTAGTTCTATCACTGAAACATGATTCAATGAGTAACTCAGGAAAAACTGAATGAATGCCAAATTCCGTCCTTCGCTAGACCTGGTCCCTTAATCTGTTCTCTATAATTGTCAACTTCATTCTGGCGTTTCTCGCACACATACAGGTAGAACCGAAGGACTGTTACACCACTAATTCTCACTTATCAGGCCTCCTAAATTTCTCAAGACCTTGAGATTATTTCAGGTTTAATTTCTTCAGTCATATTCAAAAGAATAATACTAGTGCATGCTACAAGAGGTAACTACAAAGGAGAAGTCAGGATAACCCAAACTGGCTACACAAATCCTAGTTTTTCTTTCCTCTGGAAGAACCAAATTAAGGAAAAAAGAGAAATTAAGAAACAAAGCCAAAAGCAGATACAATAAATAAACTGCTCCTAAGACAACATACCATCAGTATTAATAGAGGTGGATCCAAGATTTGAAGTTTATGCATTTCTACAAAGAACTAAAACTAATATATAATAAAATTGGGTTCATAGTCAATATTTAAAAATATTTAGTGGATTTCTTAATACATATAAAGGGTTTGGGCAAAAATTATTGCGTTCCCGTTAACCTATAGGTAATTGTAGATCTGCCTCTGATTAATCCGTTGGGAATTTCCCAAACATTAAATGTCAACAAACTTCTTGAATAAGAAACAAATTCATATATCTTGGTAACTAACATTCAAATTCAAAGCCTCTTTTTACAATACATACATAAATACGTACATACACACACTAGTATCAATTGGGTTGCTATTTAAAATGAAACAGAAGAAAGAAACAGCAAAATCTCCCACAAGGAATCATACATAGTCACTCACCAGCTTGTGAATTGCTCTTAGCGCGTTTAAGCTTTTCAAGCTGGACTTGTGACTCCATAATGAGTTTCATTCTTTGAATCTCCAAATCCTTTGCGAATTGCATTCTCTGCTTCTCCAATTCCACCATTTGTCTCTGCTTAGCATCTTCAACCCGTTCGTAAATCTCTGCAAACCTTCCTATTGCCTCAGCTAACCTACTACAACCCTCTGCCAATGCTCCACTCTCCTCCTTCCGAGCACCGGTCAGAGATATGGCCGCTGGACTTGAAGTTTCCGACTCCTCCTCTTCGTCCGATTCCTCAGAGACAGCTGCCGCAGCGGCTGCCGCAGCCATGGCGGAGAAATTTCTCCGGGAAACGGCATCCTCCATGGCTGCCGCCGGCCGCTTTGACCGAGGACCAACCGGTACTGCAGAAGGCGGGGGAAGAAGCATCGGAGGTGTCTTCCGGCGAGAAGCGACTGTTACCGGCGCCGGCGACGGTTTGAAATTATCGCCGATTAGAGCGTCGAGACCGTTGAAAAACGGCCACGGGGAGGCGTACCGGCCGTGGGATTGAGAAACCCTAGCTTTTTCGATCTTATACTTCTTCTTCAATGTATCGATGCGATTTTTGCACTGTATATCGGTGCGATATTGCTTCTTTGTGTGGCCGTGAAGGGCATTAACGGCGTTAGCCACCTCCTGCCAGTGCTTCTGCCGGAGATTGCCGCGTTTTAGCTCCAGGTAGTGGGACCCCCACGCTTCGATAAGAGTATGAGTCGCCGCCTCCGACCAGCAGTCCTCGCGAGCGGGAAAAGCCGCCGGTCGAGTTGACGCCGGCGGGATCGTCGACGGTGGAAGAGAATTAACTAGTTCGTTGTTGGTTGAGGGCGGTGGAGATGACGGAGAGGGAGGGGGAGACGGAGAATTATTATTCGAGGAGGGACTGGCGACGAGATCGTCGTCGGACATCGGAGTCGACGGTGAGACGGCGACAACGGAATTGAATTTGGTGAACGGTGGTGGAGGAATTAGGTTTAGCAGAAGAAGAAGAGAGGGGAGGGTGAGAAGTATACTGGTTGGTCGACGGCACATCGACAAAAATATGCCGACGAGGNGTGCTCGAGGTGGGGAAGTAGTAAAAATTATATGGGCTAGCCACTTTTAGAACAAATTTTTGAAAAATAGTCCTTATTTGAAAGTTCGTTGGAAAAATAGATAATTTTAAGAAGTCTTTTTTTTTTCAAAAGTATTTTTGATGAGAAGTATTTTGTGTTTGACTAATTAATTTTAAAAAATAATTTTGAGCAGCAAATTGTATTTGATCAAGATTTTAAAAAGTAATTTTACGTATATTTTTCTCAAAAGTGCTTTTGGGGAAGCTATTTTTTTCTATTTCTCCATAAATGCTTCTGCTTCTATTCAAAATTATTTTTTTTCTTCTAAAAGTTTCGCCAAACACTTCAGCTTTGGAGAAACTTAGCCAAATAGACTATTAGTGTCAAAAGATTTCGAACATAATATATTAGGACTTTGAAAATAAAGTTTATAATATTGTCATTTAATTATTCTCCTAATATATTACGACTTTAAAAACAATAAAAAATTTACTTATTCCTTATTAGAAGATTCTAATATTTAGAATTTTAATATGGAAGAGCTTTATTTCCTTATAGGTAATTTCAATTTGTTGAATGTATTGTAGTGAGATTATTGCTTCTTCCCAAGTTTGTCTTTTTCCTTTTCTTATTTTGTTATGTTAATTTAATTATTTTAAACTAAGTTAATTAGATTACCAATAAATTCATTAGCTAAAACTTAATATTATCATAACCAACAAATATTTGAAATTTACCATATACTAATTATCCTTTAGTTTTAAGCTATCTATACAGCTAAATTTATGTATCCTATTCCTAATCATGCAAAAATTAATAATTAAGTTAGAAAGGACATCTATAAGGATTTAATATATTGGTGATCGTGATATGGATTTAAGTTGTATAGTATTCGTATTCTTTTTTAATATTAGTAAATTATAACTCTGAGAGTATCCTAATCCTAATCATGAAAAAATTAACAATTATAATTAAGTTAAAAAGTACGTCTATATGAATTAAATATATTGGTGATCATGACATGGATTTAAGTTGTATAATATTCGTATTCTTTTTATAATATTAGTAAATTATAACCCATAATAGTTATTAGATACTATTTTTAATATAATTACTATGTTTATAAAGAGATTGCGTATAATTATCTTATAAGGTATATGATTGTACAAGCTTTCTACACAAATGCATGAAACTTAAACTCAATATGATAGTGATGCAAACGGCACAATGAGATCTGTTGATAGTATTTTTGTAACAAAACATATAGTAAAGTATTCACTTTAAATTTTATTAAGTCAAACTTACTATGAATTCATCTATATTCAAGGAAATTACTAAGATTCAAAATCAATATATTTATCTTATTTCACTTTAAACATCTCTTTCGAAATAGTTCTTTATGAAGCCACAATAGAGAGTTGTTTTATTTATAAAAAAAAAAAACTTAAATTGTAATGGTACATAAGTTTCTCGGATGGCAAATATTTATTTTATACTTTTTTCTTTTTGTTTTGATAATGTCAGACTCTTAAATCTTTAAGGATTGTGTATTCTTATTGAAACTGAAAAGGAATCACAATAGTTTGTGAAATTAAAGTGATAAAGTTATGAAACCAAAATAAATTCTAAGTTGAACATATCAATGGATGATTAAGGACTTCTATATAATAATTTTCTTTATTGAGTTAGCTATGTAAGATCAATATTTATCTTTTTCATGGAAATACACTTTTCTTTTATTACTCAAACACAAGTTTTCATATAATATTTATGTAATTAAAATTACTCACTGAGTTATGATACACGCGCAATGCGCGTATCTATAGACTAGTTTCTTTAATAGCCAACGCTTATCTGTCCACCTAAATTCTCAAATACCTATTTTACCTTTAATTAGTTGAATTTTTTCATAGTTGATTAACTTTATTTTTATTTTAAAATTAACATCATGATCAAGACGAGTTCGGAGTTTCCATTGGCCTGAATAGTTGACTAATGATGTTTTCAAAAATGTTAATGTTGCATTAGTTTTGTTGGTCCAACGAACCTCTATTTTTCCCGGTTAATTGAAATTTATTTCAAATAGGGACACATGATATGCAAATTTGCTTCGTCCTGACCTACTTAACAATCTTGCACGGATTATTTTTCCTCGAATGATAATTAATTTACTACAAATATTTGCTTTTTTGGTTAGTTTATACATTACGTGATGGATTAAAATAGGGAGAAATTCAAAAATAGCCAGATTTACAACTGGTCGTTCAAAAATAGCTCAGTTTCAAAAGTAATCGAAATTTAGCCACTTTTCATGTAAAGATAAATTTGAGCGAAAATACTTTTCAAAACCCGAAAAATACGCCAGTATATTATACTGGAGTTCCAGCATAAGTATGCTTGAACTCCAGGATAAGTATGCTGGAGTTCCAGGATAAGTATGCTGGAACTCCAGCATAATATGATGGAGTTCCAGCATAAGTACACTAGAACTCCAGCATAATATACTGGAGTTCCAGCAAGTATAATTGTCCAGTATAATATACTGGAGTTTGGAGCACCGGTGCTCCAGTCTCCAGTATATTATACTGGAGTCAGCAGAGTATACCGGTCCAACATAATATGCTGGAGTTCATACACAGGTGCACCGAACTCCAATATATTATGCTGGACCGGTCTCTATTGCAACAAAACAATGGCTTTTCTTTTTATTGACTTCGTAAACGCTGGCTATTTTTGAACGACCAGTCCGAAAACTGGCTATACCGTGCTATTTTTACATTAAAATATGATCATAAAATCTAAATAGTGGCCTAAAGTGGGATATTTTTGTAAATCGACCAAAAATGCTGGTAGGGAGCATTTTCCTCCTTTATCGGCCCTTACCCATCACGAATTCGTACTAGTTGGGGGCTCTAATGGGGATATCGAATATCGAGGGGCGATGTGCACAAATAGCCGCTAAGAGCACCTGTCTTTATTTTAAAGTCAGTGTTTTAAATGTCTTTAGTCTTTAGCTAATGGTTTAATAAACTTATACCTGATTGGACGAAAATACCTTTCTGCTATAACTTATACCTATGCTTTTATTAACGATCAACAGCAGCAGCAGCAACACACGTAACTAACTTCACTGTGATCGTCGAATTTCAAAGTATAGAATTGCAGAAGCTTCTCTTCCGATTTCATACTATAGAATTCAACTTTTCGTCCAAAAATCTACATAAATTTACTATAAGTTATACTTTTGTGTGTTTCTATTGATTTTTATTTCGTTACTGGGAATTTGATGCTAGAATTGATTTATTTTGAATTTCTGGATTGATAAGGTTAAGGACATCACATCCTGTGATAATTCTATAAAAATTGAGCACATAATATTAAGGACATAGTGTCCTAATTTTGCAAATTGAATTGAAAAAGTTAAGGACACAATGTCCTTAACTTTTTTGCTATTCTTCTGTATATTAAGGACATACTGTCATAGTTTTGCAAATTGTTTTGAAAAAGTTAAGGACACTTGGTCCTGAAGTTTGAGTTTCAAGTTGAAAAGTTAAGGACACTTGGTCCTGAACTTTGACTTACATGTTCAATAGTTAAGGATACTTGGTCCTTAACTTAGAGTTATAAGTTAAAAAGTTAAGGACAAATAGTCCTTAACTTCAAGTTTCAAGTTCAAAAGTTAAGGACACTTGTTCAAAAGTTAAGGACAGACAGTCCCTTCAAGTTTCAAGTTCAATAGTTAAGGACACTTCGTCCTGAAATTTGACTTGCATGTTCAATAGTTATGGACGCTTGGTCCTTAACTTAGAGTTCCAAGTTAAAAAGTTAAGGACAGACAGTCCTTAACTTCAAGTTTCAAGTTCAAAAGTTAAGGACACTTGGTCCTTAACTTTGAATTCCTAGTTCAAAAGTTAAGGACACTTGGTCCTGAACTTTTATTTCCATGTTCAAAAGTTAAGGACACTTGTTTCTTTACTTACAGTTTCAAGTTCATAAGTTAATTGTCCTTAACTTGGTCTTGAACTTACAATACCTGTTTTTAATTATACAAGGATTGCTCTATAAAATATGTCCTGAGTTTCCCATTCTCTTGACTTGCAGCATGGAAACAATATGCATTATAGTTACTTTTAATGGTAGATGGACTGAAGACTATAAGTATCTTGATCATCAAACAAAGCTTGTTCTAGTACCTGAGGCAATTCTGTTTGAAGATTTCATTAAACATATCTTTGAAGTTATTGAATTGGATAGAGACAAGTTTGAAGCAGTGATATGGTTTGATATCAACCTTGGAACAAGCAATGGAATGCTTGTATCCAAAGATTTAGATCTTCACACATGTATAGAGTTACTAAAAACTCATTCACTCTTCAAGGGCTGTCGTTTCATTGTTGATATTTCGGAAAGAGTTTTTGGATCTACAAGCACCTTTGAACATGTCAACAGAGAAACTCAACATGACAATCAAAATAAATGCCAACAGATAATGTAATAAATATGGTTGAAGCTCAACCAATAACTGGAGAGGTGCTTCAAACATTTGATTCTATTCAAGTAGAATGACAAAGCATTATAGAGATTGACAACGAACAAGCTTTGGATATTCAAGTCTTAGAGAGTGCACCGGTAATCGAAGAAGTTGCTGAAAAAACCTCTACTCAACTAACTAGACGAAGGTCAAATCTGAAACAAAAAAAAATCCCCAACTACGATATTAAGAGAAAATGCTTCGTTGGATGAAATAAAAGTGGGATCAATATTTGACAAAAAGAAGAGTATAATTAACTATTTTTCGAATATTGCAATTAAAGGGCATTTTGAATTCAAGGTTGTTAGATCAAGCTCAACAAGATATTCGTTGAAATACAATGATGATAGGTATGGGTGGTGTGTGTGTGCTTTTAGAATTAAAGATTCAATACTGTTCAAGATAGTAAAGATTGAGAAAAATTATGACTGCTCTGTTAGCACTATGAAAGCTGATCAAAGGCATGCAACTTCAAAGTTGATTAGTGGTTACATTATCAACAATCTTCGAGACCCAAGGTTTGAAGTTACACCAGCTTTTGTCATGGCAAAAATGCAAAAATTGCATGGACTAGACATTGGGTATCACAAGGCGTGGCATGCTATTCAACGTGCTTCCGCTTTAATAAGAGGAACTCCTGAAGAGAATTATGAATTATTGTCTTCATACTTGTATATGATGAGAAGTAAAAACCCGGAAACATATACTAACACAAAGATAGACGACGACAACAGGTAAACAATAAACAAAAAGTTTATTAGTCCGTTTTATAAACTTTAGGACATGTTGTCTTTAACCAGTTAAAAAGTTAAGGACGTGTTGTCCTTAACTTTCACGTGTGCAGTCAAAAAGTTAAGGATACTTGGTCCTTAACTTAGAATTGCAAGTTATAAAATTAAGGACATGGTGTCCTTAACTTTTGAACTTGTAACCTGAAGTTCAGGACTGACTGTCCTTAACTTTTGAACTTGTAACTCTAAGTTAAGGACTGCCTGCCCTTAACTTTTGAACTTTGAACTCAAAGTTAAGGACTGCATGCCCTTAAATTTATAACTTATAACTCTAAGTTAAAGACTGCATGTCCTCAACTTTTGATCTTGTTAGTCTAACTTCAGGACTACTTGTCCTTAACTTTTGCCCTTGTAACCTTAAGTTGAGGACTACCTGTCCTTAACTTCTATTAACCTCGTTTTATACTGTATTTTCAGGTTTCTTTATATGTTTTATACATATGGATCATCAATATCTGGTTGGAACCATTGTAGAACAGAGATTGTTGTTGATGCAACTTTTTTGAAGTCAAAATTTCGTGATGTTTTAATGATTTCTGTTTCAAAGGATGCAAATAACCAAATTTTCTCACTAGCCTTTGGAATAGCAGAATCTGAAAATAACAATTCCTATGAGTGGTACTTTAGTGAGCTTCGCACTGCAATTGGGAGCCGTGAGAATTTAATTTTTTTATCATACAGGCATCAAGCTATTGCATATGACATTGCAAAGGTATATCCTGAAAGCCATCATGGGATTTGTATCTATCATTTGCAGCAGAACCTAAAGCGAAGGAAAGTGAAAAGCGAGGTCATAAAATTTTCCAAAGTGCTGCAAGAGTATACATGCGCAAAGAATTTGATCTATACATGTCAGATATAGCAAAAGTAGATAAGAAGACTTATGACTACTTGATGGAAGAACCACCAAAAAAGTGGGCACGTTCTTGTAGTCCACGACGAAGATATGACATGCTCACAACAAATATAGTCGAGTCAATGAATTCTGTCCTATTAGAATTAAGGAAGCTGCATATATTAAGAATGATGGATTTCATTCAAGTGAAGCTACAACGTTGGTTTTATGAAAGAACAAATGAAGCAGAAGGAACTTTTTATGATGTTTCTTGTTGGGTAGAGGAGGAATTGAAAAAAAAGATAGATTTAGCATTTACTTTAAATGTAAGTATTATGTTCTATGTTTAGGTTATTATTTTAATATAATTTAACATAATGTACTAACTTATACTTTTTCAACATTGAAGGTCTTCCTTGTTGATACATGGCGTTCTAGAGTTGAAGAAGAAGGAATAACTTTCTTGGTGGACTTAAACAAAAGAACATGTGATCGTTTTCAGTTTCAATTTGATGAATTACCATGCATACATGCAATTGCAGCTATCGAGAAGAGAAACATCTCCAACTTTTGCTTGCACTGGTACTTAAATTAATCTTGACTGAAAACATATGAAAGATAAATACATCATGTAGGACATACTGATTCTTGGATTATACCAAAGAGTGTTAAGTCACAAATTGTTAAATCTCCAGATTTCAAAGTGCCACCAGGTAGAAGGCAGAAGAAAAGGCACATTCCAACTACCGAGTCATCAAAAATAACATTCAAATATGGTCATTGCAGAAGAATTGGTCATAATAGAACAACTTGTATATATTCTCTGGTAGTCCATCCATTTTCAAGAAAGCATAGAGAATAATAGATATATCCACTTATGTTTATCGACTCTTTTAAGTTTTTGCTATAAATTGGATTCATTTAGATTATTCTTATTTGAGCCGATGTCTGAATTTTCAAAATTTCTTTCTGCTTACGTTCTTTTTGTTTCTTTAGAGTTCAAAGTTCAAAAGTTAAGGATAGACTGTCCTTAAGTTTGACTTACAGGTTCAAAAGTTAAGGACAAGTAGTCCTTAAGTTTGACTTACAGGTTCAAAAGTTAAGGACATGCAGTCCTTAACTTTGAGTTTAAAGTTCAAAAGTTAAGGACTGTCTGTCCTTAACTTTGACTTACAAGTTCAAAAGTTAAAGACAGACAGTCCTTAACTTTGAGTTTCAAGTTCAAAAGTTAAGGACAAGCAGTCCTTAACTTTGACTTACAAATTTAAAGGTTAATGACACTTGGTCCTTAACTTACAGTTCCAAGTACAAAAAATAAGGACACTTAGTCCTGAAGTTTGAGTTCCAAGTTCAAAAGTTAAGGATTCAATTTCAAAAGTTGAGGACACATGGTCCTGAACTTAGACTTTCAAGTTGAAAAGTTAAGGACACTTGGTCCTGAAGTTTGAGTTTCAAGTTCAAAAGTTAAGGACACCTGGTCCTGAAGTTTCAGTTTCAAGTTCAAAAGTTAAGGACACATGCTCCTGAACTTTGACTTACAAGTTTAAAAGTTAAGCGCACTTGGTCCTTAACTTTGAAACTTTGAATTTGAAGTTCAATTACACTTGGTCCTGAACTAATACTAACAAGCTCAATGGACAAATCAATACTTGACAGAAATAAAGAAATTAATAACATGATGCCTTCATATTACTTCTGAAATTGTAATTTTGCATAGCTGTGACAAACAATTATGCTATGCAAACAAAATAAAAGTGCCTTTTGAGGAATTTACAAGATATTTCAGAATTCATATGGATTCTTTACAGTAATTTTATACAAAAAATCAGCCACAACTAACTTTTTTTTATAATTAAACTACAGCTCCTTCATATAAGAAGTTTCATTTTCACTATCATAGTCGTCACCAATATTTTCTGGTGGTATATCATAACCATAATTTCTTTTCCACTCTCCATGTGCCCAAAAATTTGCTGCAAGTTCTTTTCTAAAGTCTTTTATGTCTTCAGGTTGGAATTTCTCCACATCCTTTTCCTTCATCACAACGCCACATACTTGATTAGGAATACACCACAATCAGTCCTAAGAAAAATGTAAGATATGGAGTCAATTAAACAATAAATCTAAAGTACATATAAATTATATAACAAATAACAACACGTACGATCCAGTTTGGTGTGGTGATCTTTGCCACTAAATATCAAATTTGTTGAATGCATTTCCAAAAGACTTGTGATGTTTCTCAAACTGTGAGAACTTTAGCAAGTGGGGGATCATGCGTGCATACATTTCAATGTGATTCATTCCTGCCTCATATGACTCACTATATATGGAATCGTACACATCAATCTTTTTCTCATTCAAGTCCAATATCCCCAAAAGAAAATGTGTCACAACATTATCATCTTCTTAAAGAAGCCGACATGGAAAAAATATTTTGTCAACCTCTGTCCAAGCAATTCCACATCTACGACTGTCACCCCACACATATGGTTTCAAAAACAATTGATTATCACCACATCAAAACTCATCTGCAGCATCTTTATTGAAATCCTTATACACAAGCACCATATAGTTATCAAAAAGTATATCTGTAGTTGTGCAATGAAAAGGATGGTCGCGAGGGTGGTAGCATTCCTTCTTTCTCAGATAATATAGGGCAATGTCAATATGCTTCATAAAAAGGCAAAAAATAAAACAAATCCATCAGTCATAAAATAATTAAAAAAATGATAAATTAAGAATAAAGAAAATAAATGCCTTGCGAATTATCAAACCTTATCATCAAGTACAAAGCTACTATCTGAAAGCTCAAGGAAGAACATTTTGCTACTGATTTTTTGATGATACAATTTGTATGGATTCTTTCTCACACCATTATCATCAGCATATATATATCAGTTTGTCCCCTGAAATTTTTTGAAAATATCAAAGTTAGAAGTTAGTCCTGAACTTAGACTTTCAAGTTGAAAAGTTAAGGACACTTGGTCCTGAAGTTTGAGTTTCAAGTTCAAAAATTAAGGACACTTGGTCCTGAAGTTTGAGTTTCAAGTTCAAAAGCTAAGGACACATGGTCCTGAACTTAGACTTACAAGTTCAAAAGTTCAGGATACTTTGTCCTTAACTTAGACTAACAAGTATAAAGGTTAAGGACAGGCAGTCCTTAACTTATAGTTCCAACTTCAAAAGTTGAGGACACTTGGTCCTGAAGTTTGAGTTTCAATTTGAAATGTTAAGGACACTTGGTCCTGAACTTCAAGTTTTAAGTTGAAAAGTTAAGTACACTTGATCCTGAACTTCAAGTTTCAAGTTCACACATGGTCCTGAACTTAGACTTTCAACTTCAAAAGTTGAGGACACTTGGTCCTAAGCTTAGACTTACAAGTTCAAAAGTTAAGGACACATGGTCCTGAACTTTGACTTACAAGTTCAAATGTTCAGGACACTTGAGGTCCTGAACTTTGAATTCCAAGATGAAAAGTTAAGGACACTTGGTCCTTAACTTTGATTTCCAAATTCAAAAGTTAAGGACACTTAACTTTAGGAATTTCAATATCAATATACTTAGTCCTAAATTTAAAATTACAAGTTAAGGACACGAATTTAAGTAATTAACAAATAATGAAATATATTTAGGGACTTATGCTTTTTTTGCGACCTTTCCTTTTCTCCTTGCCCAACCACACAATGAATTTCTTCAATAATTTTGCATCATCTTTGGCATAATGAAAAATACACGTACGCGTATATTTTGATTTTATCTAGCCCGTTTACTTGGGAGTATTTTCATTGTGTGCCATCGATGTTCCTATTTTTCTTTCCTGTTCAAAAGGAGATTTCAACTGCCAACTAAGCTTCTTATTTCTTTTACCTCGACCAAGCTCAAAATTTCCTTCAACCTCCATATACAAACCCTCATCAATGCTCATTTGTGTATTTGTAGGAGTAGGAGTAAGAATAGAAAATTATGGACCATCATAACCAATGCTATCTCTCTTCCTTTTCCTAGTACGCTTTGGTTAAGATCGACCAAGCTCAACATTTCCTTCAACCTCCATATATATTAGTTTGCTTCAAGTCGTCAAATGAAGAGACAAAAACTAAGAACATTTTTTTTGAAATGTACTGGCATTTTCAATTATGAATATAATATTTAGGACACAATCAATACCTGTCTTGTTCATACTGCCTTCTTGTATTTTTTCAACAGACAATTGAGCTGACATATTGGTTGTATTTTCTTTATCTTCCAACTGCACATTTTCTTTATCTTGCAACTGTTCTGCATGTTCTTCAATTGCAAGTTCACAAGATTTTGCAAAATATATACAAGAGCTAACACAATTAGTACTTGTTACTAATCTTTGATTAAAACAAACATGTATAAAATTAAAATAAACACTGTCTAACCATTTGCAACTGTCAAGATCATCGCAGTTAAATCATTATCTTCACTAGCATTTTCTTGGCTTCCAATATTGTCGGTAAGAGAGTGAGGTGTAGAGAGATCACATGTTCCATCTATGCATTTGGAAACAATCTCACTTATGCTTGTTCCTTGGGAATTTTCTAAGTCTTGAGATTGTACTCCACTTTTCTCTTGATACTCCACTCCATCTTCTTCCCTTGTAACTTCAAAAGATTCTGTAACATTTACAATTAATACCCATTCTAATAGTTCACTAAAACTAACATTCAACATATCATGAAAATTTCATCTAACCTTGATTGGCATAATTTTGAACTCCAAATTTCTCTTTATATGAGAGAGGTGTAGACATATCATATGTTCCTTCTAAACATTTGCATACAATCTCACTGACACTTGTTCCCAATGGACTTTCTAAATCCTAAGATTGCACTCCACATTTAATTTTTTTTTTCTGTTACTCCTGTCTCTTTTGGATTTTCCTGGTCTTGACATTCTACTACATCTTGAACTTCCGCTCCATCAACAGATTCTACATATATTTGTAATCACAAAAAAGTTTATATGTATTACACTATTGAATATAAATTTCAATGACAAAAAATTCAAAATCTATATCTAACCTTTCCCAATTTCAGTGCCAATATCAGTTTCATCATCTAGATGTGCATCTCTATAATCGCTTTCATACAGAACTTCTGCATGCATATTCGTATCATCACATTCATCACCACCTGCATCTTTGTTAATTGTAACAGTAGGTTATGTACCATCACAATGATCATCAACTCCTTCTTTAGTAATTAGAACACTAGATTCACTCTATATGTTCCTTTCATCAGGTTTCACAAAAATCTTCAACAAAGTATCAATCTTTGATCCTAGACTTTTCTTTAAATCCTGTGAAAGAAACTAAGTTAGAAAGTTAAGGACAAGTAGTCCTAAACTTCATGTTACATTTAAGAAAGTTAAGGACAGGCAGTCCTTAACTTAGAGTAACAAGTTCAAAAGTTAAGGACACTTGGTCCTAAACTTCAAGTTTCAATTTCAAAAGTTAAGGACATTCAGTCCTTAACTTATAGTTACAATATAAAAAGTTAAGGACAATATGTCCTTAACTTCAAGTTTCAAGTTCAAAAGTTAAGGACAGACAGTCCTTAACTTTG